TAGCCTTCTTAGTTATGTATTTTTAGAAGTCTGAGTGCGCCGTAACTATTTTTTTCTGTATGAATTCTGGTCACTGCGGCAGCAGCTTTCTTGCATAATGCATCTCTCAGGTGTGCCCCCAATCTCTTCTCTGTGCAAGCATATTTGGAATCCAGACCAGATTCCTTTGGGGTTAAGCACCCCGCCCAAGCCCCCCAGCTTCTGAGGCCTCTTTAGAGGTGGCCACAGGTGTGTGTATAAATAGGAGTTTTATAGTCATGTCACTTTTATTATTTTCTTCATGCAGCACAGATATTATCTGCAAATGTGAGTATACTCATTCAAGCACTAACACTTTAATTGTTTAGTTGTTACAGTTTTTAATTGCTTTTATCACACTTTATTTTTGTATACTCAATTTGCTCTTACAAAGAAATTAATTTAATACACTGTAGATTGTTTTTAGCACCAGTACTATTTAATTTGTCTCCCACATTTTGTAATTAGCGTAGGACCCACCAACATTGGGGTACTTTGAAGCAGTGGTGGGCTTAACATCATATAGCCATATGGTGGAACTAAATCCTCATATTTATTCTCTTAGATAGGCATTTTATAGTAGCCTTCTTAGTTATGTATTTTTAGAAGTCTGAGTGCGCCGTAACTATTTTTTTCTGTATGAATTTTGGTCACTGCGGTAGCACCTTTCTTGTATAATGCATCTCTCAGGTGTGCCCCCAATCTCTTCTCTCTGCCTGACCACACAGGCCGAAAGTCCAGGTAATTTAATTTGCTAGCACTATATTTAACCCTGTAACTTTCCAAGACACCATAAAATCTGTCCATGGGGGGTACTGTTTTACTCTGAAGATTTTGCTGAACACAAATAGTGTTTCACAACAGTAAAATGTATTTAAATTTTTTACATTTTTCACACACAAATGGCACTAACACTGATGATACGTGTTACTGTTTTGAAACACTAATATTTGTTTTCAGCGAGGTCTCCCGAGCATAACAGTACCCCTCATGTGCAGGTTTTATGGTGTTTTCAAAAGTTAGAGTCAAATATAAGGCTTGCGTTTCAGTTTTTCACATTGAAATTTGCCAGATTGATTACGTTGCCTTTGAGACCGTATGGTAGCCCAGGAATGAGAATTACCCCCATGATGGCATACCATTTGCAATAGTAGACAACCCAAGATATTGCAAATGGGTATGTCCAGTCTTTTTTAGTAGTCACTTGGTCACAAACACTGGCCAAAGTTAGTGTTAATATTTGTTTGTGTGTGAAAAATGCAAAATACTAATCTGAACGCCAATTTTGCTCCAACCCTGCTGCAATTGAGACCCCGCCTCTGCTGCTCAGTAAGCCCCTGCCACCATGTTCTTTTGTTTGATAGTTCCAGGTGGAGAATACTGAAAAGGCCGGCTCTGTGTGTATGTATATATATATCTATCTATCTATCTCAAATATCCTATTGCTGAATATTCAGTGAGTGTGTACAGATACAATGCTCTTCAACATCTATCTATAAGGACAGTGGTGTATTTTAGATTTGTGCTGCCCTAAGTTTTTTGTTTTGTTTTTTGTTTTGTTTAATATTGTACTGGTTTGCGGTGGTTAGATGAACTCAGCTGTTCTTTCCTAAGCATGATGAAACTCTGATACCCCCTAATTTAAATTTGCCCAACCCCTTCCTGTCAAAGCTGCAGGTCTTCCTGTTAAAGGCCAACACGCTCATTGACTGACACACACGCCCTCAATGACGTACATTCACTGAGAGATAGTCATTGGCGCACACACACTGTTTAACCAACACACACTTTCACTGACAAACACTGACACACCCAATCACTGACAGGCACACACTCTCAGATACAGTGGCGTACACACAATCCATGGGTTCCCGATGCAAAACTGATCCATGGGCCCCCCCGACAGACACGCACACATACATACATACAGACAGGCACACATACATAGACAGACACACAAACAAACACACATATACAAAATGTTCAAGTCACCCTCCTGTTTCCTACCTTTTAGATGCTGGAGGGTGACTTTCCTGGGGTCCAGTGGTAGCTCAGGTTGATGGGAGTCAGAGTGGGAACTCTGACTCCCTCCTCTGCTTCTTCCCGTGCGGGCTCACTCTGATACTTGGGAGGAGTGACCGGGGCTGTCACTTCCTCCCAGCACGTGATTTCATCACAGGGGGCCCGGTCACACTGTTAATGCGTTGACCGGGCCACCTGAAAATTCATACCCATCAGGTGGCCCTAACAGCATGGACAACTCGATGGTCCCCATGAACGGCGGCCATGGCGGTTTGCTATGCAGGCCGGGGCTGCAAATCATGACGACGGGCACCCAGTCGCAGGGTGCGACTCCTATATGTACGCCACTGCTCAGATACACTGACATACACACATTAACTGATTTGGCACAATCTGACAGACAACCACTGAAAGACACACACTCACTGAAAGACACACACAGACAGACAACACACTCACTGACAAACATTCACTGACAGAGACACACACGTTCACTAACAGATACACACTCACTAATTTGACACTGGCAGACATACAGTCACTCACACATACTCACTGAAAGACATACTCACATTCACTGACGCACATACACATTTACTTAAAAGACAAACACATTTACTGACACACACACATTCACTGACAGACACAGATTGATACTGACACACACACACACATTTTTCCCCCAACACTCACAAATTATTATTATTTTTTCATTATAATTTAAATCCACCCAGCCTCTCTACCTTTGTGAGAGCTGGGTGGATTATTTACCTGAGGGGCCTCTTGGATGGCTGTTGGACCGGCAGCTGGGCAGGCAGTCAGGAGGGCGGGTGTGCAAAGTAAGCAGTGAGCAGTGGCGTACATACCAGGGTCGCAGGGGTCGCGGCTGCGACCGGGCCTGGCCCACCAGGGGGCCCGGCCGCCCCTGCGACCCGTTATGTACCCACAGGGCCAGCCTCTTCCCCTGGGGGGCCCAGGAGCCGACCACCCCAGGGCCCCCCGAGGCTGGCCCTGCTGAAACTGCTATGTTTTCAGCTGCAGGGTTAAAACTAGAGGGACCTGACACCCAGACAACTTCATTGAGCTGATGTGATATGGGTGTCTGTAGTGGTCCTTTAAAGGACCACTATAGTGCCAGGAAAACATACTCGTTTTCCTGGCACTATAGTGCCCTGAGGGTGCCCCCCACCCTCAGGGACCCCCTCCCGCCCGGCTCTGGAAGGGGGAAAGGGGTTAAAACTTACCTTTTTCCAGCGCTGGGCGGGGAGCTCTCCTCCGGAAGTCGGCTGTGGCGCGCATCGCCACACAAGCAGCCGCGCTACGCGCATTCAGCCGGTCACATAGGAAAGCATTCATAATGCTTTCCTATGGACGCTTGCGTGCCCTCACTGTGAAAATCACAGTGAGAAGCACTCAAGCGCCTCTAGTGGCTGTCAATGAGACAGCCACTAGAGGAAATAGGGGAAGTCTTAACCCATTCATAAACATAGCAGTTTCTCTGAAACTGCTATGTTTATGAAAAAATGGGTTAACCCTAGCTGGACCTGGCACCCAGACCACTTCATTAAGCTGAAGCGGTCTGGGTGCCTAGAGTGGTCCTTTAAGTGTGTGTGCATCTGCATGCACTGGCGTACATACCGCGGTCGCAGGGGTCGCAGCCCTGTAACCCCTGCGACCAGGTGCCCACCGCCATGTGTTGCGGCCCGGCCCGCGCGGGGGGGGGTGGGGGGTGGGGCCCACGGATCAATTTTCGCACCGGGGCCCCATGGGTCATGTGTACGCCACTGGCAGTGAGGGAGCTGTGATCTGCTTGTTCAGCTCCCTCACACGATGATTAGTGATGCTGGGAGCCGGACCAACGTCATATTCCGTCTCCCGGCACCACTGCAGGATGTGAGGGAGCTGAGCAGAAAGAGCTCTTAGATCAGTGCTCCCTTGCGCTCCAAATTCCTTGTTAGCCCTGCAGTAAATACATCGCTGCATGAAGACATACAAAAACTCCTGTCTTACTAGATGAATAACCAGAGGTTATGCCTTACTAGGATTCTGTTTGCATACGCACATTCATGCGGGGCTGAAAGGGTTAATAGCGCTGAACGCACTCACTCAGCATTGCAAGGACCTCGCAGAACTATGGCGAGTCATAAGTTAAATCTCTTGATTACCTGGGAGTCTTGGTTACAAGTTATCTGGTTTTCAGAGTGAGTTGTTATTGTTACAATGGGTTTGTAAATTAAATAGGAGACCCTCCTTCTCTTCCACATACCTGTCTCGGTGTGTTTATTATTAGTTATATTTATATGTGATTTATTATGTATATAGTTTAAATTTTTATGCCTGCAGTGCAGATGATAAATCTCCTTAATGTTTCTGTTGTCCCATAACCCCATCATCTGCTTCCTGTGAATTGCAACTACGGTGGGTGGGGAACAATAGTCAGGCCAGTGTAGATCAGACCAAAGGGGGAGAGGTTCTTAATAGCTAGCAGGTAAATTGTGCATGAATGCACGCCAGGCTACCTGCAAATCACCCAGGCCAATGCACTTTTTCAGTGGTCTGGGCTTGGCCTTAGTCTGCTGATGATGTGCTTGTGCTACGTATTTAGGGAACAGTCCTTGGAGTGCCCAAAAGTGGGATACCAGGAAACAAATCCGGTACAGGATCCTAAAAATTGGGATGATTGGAAGGCCTGTTGTCTTCTTTATTTGCATAGTGTACCTGGACTGAACTGTATTGTGAAGTCATTCACACCAATGATGCAATCTTCAGAGAACTGCCAGGTTTGCTGTAAACAAAACCTAATACCTTGACATTGCAAGGGCTTTTTTTTGTATTGGTCCTGTTTCAGTCTCCACTGACCTGCAGGCATAATACAGACTAGAGAAGGTTACTATAGCTACTTGTAATTTTATTTCCAAATATATCATTTCCTTAGGGAATTAACTTTACATCAACACTGACCCCTCTTACCCCATAACAAAACCAGTGAGAGGCATTTTACAGAAAATAATGTCAGTTCTCTGGTGATGGTCTCCCTCTGGCAAGCTGGCAGTGAAGCTGTTAAATGCTCACACAGAGCCATAGCGGAGGCCAGCGGCGGCCTGGGTGATAGTGAAAGTAAAGCTAGAGGGCGCTGTGCAGCCGGTGTTAGTACATGGCATGCGTCTCTGTGCAAAGAAGGAAAACAAGGAAATGGTGGAGGGAGAGCCTGCCACTTATTCCATGTAACGACCCACCGGCGGCGGGCAGGGAGCGGGCACACGGCGCATTGATGGGTTAAACACGCGGGCCGGCCAGCCCACCAGCATGGATTACGAGTTCAAGAGCAAGCTGTCCGCAGAGCGGGAGAAGGTGGAGGATCTGTTCGAGTATGAAGGCTGCAAAGTGGGTCGGGGCACCTATGGGCATGTTTACAAAGCCAAGAGGAAGGACGGGTAAGAGGGCGGGGTGACTGGCTGTCACGGCACTTTGCATACCTGTGTGTGCGTGCATCGCTTGCAGCATGAACCCCAGCCATGGCAGCAGCTGCCGTGCCACCCTGTGTGTGCCTGGTATTATTCTGGGTGCATGTACCAGCCATGCGTTGGCATGCACCTCTCACTGTGTTTGTGTCTCCTGCCCCTCTCACTGTGTTTGTGTCATGCTTCTTTCAATGTGTGTGTGATGCACACTGCACTCTGGTGCCCTGGCACTGAGCATGTGCCCATGGCTGCCCTCTTTGTGTGCCAGTGAGCTGGCTGTACCTGTACAGTGGGAGCAGGCTGCTGCTGTGAGGGTTACAGGTTATTGATGGTGATGTTGTGTATATGGGACTCCCTCCTATACACACGCCCGAGATACTAAAGTTGTGATGGGGGAGGTGGAAACCCTCAGCTACAAATGTTTATGTTGGGGTAAGCCAGCCTAGTGGTCCCTCCTCCTCCATTCCTCCCTCCCTCCTCCATCATTTGTAAGTATTTTCCCCTCTTCTTGTTTTGCTTTTTCCCCTCCCTCCTCTTAACCTGTTAAGGACCAAGGCTTTTTTGAGATGCAACTCGTAGTAACCAAGAAGGCCTTCTTGGCATTTTTGCTATGCGT